CACACATACAGTCATTCTCCAAAACAGCCCTGAAATGAATTGAAATATTCCTCTTTTTTCACTATTGACCCTGAATCCTATGAGTTGATTTTTTTCAAAGAGGGCTCTAAGAGAGAATAGTGTAACAAATAAATTCCAGTTTTAGTCTGTGCCCTTACCTACCAAAAGTCCTTGCTTTCTTCCTTGACACCCTGGAGTTAATGGGCACAGAGCTATGCTGCTGGACAGTGTGGGGCTGTCAGCAGGCCAGTGTGGTGTGAGCCCTCTCCCTTCTCCCTTTTAGTTGCAAATGAAGTAAATTTTTGGAAATCATTCGTCATGTATTGACATCTATGAATGGAGATAGGAAAGGAAAAAAAAGCAGAACAGTCATTATCCACAAAGTACAGTACAATGAGTGATTTGAGGTTTTCCAGGAGAGAGAGAATCACATTCCATGACTTTGCCCAAATCCTCTGGTTTTATGCTCATTCTGTTGGAACCAGCCTGGCAAACAGGTTTCACAATTAATGATGACTTTGAAGTTTCTGACACCTACTGACACTTCTGACAGCCCAGATCGGCTGAAGTAACTACCTACATTTTCCTGGTTCCTGGTGCCCAAGAACCAAGGAGCAAGAGCTGAGCCTGCAGCTGACAGACAGCAGCTGGCACACAGCAGAGAGCAGAGGTGTCTCTGGCCATTTTCTCTTAGGATGGCCTGATACATTGACTTCGCTCAGGCCACATGGAAGTGCCAGGGAAGATGAATTGAGGCCGTTTCTGTGCAGGCTCTTCCTCTGTGCCAGATGAGTTCACCATCAAAGAATACAGTATGACTCTCCCCACCCTGAGCAGCTTGGCAGACGCATTCTGTAAGCAGCCATGGTGCCAGCAGTTTGCAGCAGCCTCTGCCACAGCGAATCAGCTGTGGTTTCAAATGAAAAGCAGCCTGGGATGTGGAGATTACCCCACACCACAGTGTTTCCCCAAAACAAGAGCCTTGATTTTGCCTTCCAAGTGACAGCGACAGAGCTGATGAACCTTTCTTCCAAATGCTACCCTCCGCCATTAAAATTTGGTCCCTTGCTTTTTTTAGCCTCCATACAGAATGACAACAGTATGACTCCAGCCCAAGAGAAGGAGAGATTTGGCACAGAAATCACAAATTAAGCCAGCCAAGCTAAGGCGAGATGAAATGGGTCACACCAGGTAAAGCAATCTATTGTCCTCCAAACTTTCTGGGTTGGTTCACCCTATGATAGAACCACTTATTCTCTTTCTCCTATAATAACTCACAAAGTCATCTGGATTACTTAACCTTTATGGTTAGTCTGTCCAGATATTTTTTAGATTCCCTGTGAAACTCCCCCCACCCACGCCAGTCTGAATAATCTACAAGGCCTAAACTAATGAGCCTGTTGTCAGCTCTCGATGAATGTGCCAACTCACCCATGGGAGGAGCATCGGGAAAAACAGGGACAAGGAAAGGGTTTGTGCAGTGACTGAGCCTGTCAGTAGGCCAGCTGGAAAGCTACTTCAGATGGGGCTACTTCATGTTTGTCTGGAGAACACTGCAGGAGCTCACCGAGTGCACATGAGTGTGTGTTTTCCTCTCTTCTTTCAGCTGTGGGTTTAAGTTTATCTGCTCACAGTTGCGAGTGCAGAGCTGTAAAGCTGAGGCAAGAAACGCTGGAAGGGCAGGAGCTCATCAAAGCCAGCAAGAGGTCAGTCCTCTATGGGATGGCTGGGCTCTCTGTTCTTTTGCTGGAATTTTCTAAGTGAGGAAAAGTAAACCGCACTGGTGTCTTGCTACTCTATGAAACAGCTGAATAACTATGTCGCCTTAGACACTGACTAGCTGTGGGTTTTTTTTTTTTAATCAAATTACTTTGCTTCTCTGAGACTCAGTTCCCATACCCATAACATAAGCATAGATGTCTATGTAATGAGGATGGTGTGAGAGTTAAGTAAGATAACATACATAAAGAGTCGAGTGCAATGCTTGGCACAAAATTTGGTAAATAATAACGGTAACTGGCATGTGTTGGGAACTTACTATGATATATGCCAAATACTCGAATCTTTACAATGTAGTCTGAAGCCCTTAAGACAATCCTTTAAAAGAAGTATTGTTATACCCTTTGAGCAATGAGCCATGAAGAGTAATTAAAGGTCAAACGACTATGGCTGTTGCCTCTAACATGAGTGCCAGTCAGTTAATAAACACCTCTTTGGTATAGCCATTTGTAAGCATGAACTCTAGGGCCACGCAGCCTCGGATTTCATCTCAGCTCTTCGACATGTAGCCTGAGGTATTGTAGAATAATATTTCAAGGTGTGTTACTTTTGTTTGTGCTCTGGAACTTTTGTCTAATGATGCAAAGATGTGTTTGATTAAATGAAATTCACCTGAGTTCAGGAGGCTGAGTCAGCAACTAGCTGACAGGAAGTGATAAAGAGGAGCCGCATGAAAAAGGGTTTATAAGGAGAGATGAGGAGAAGCAGGAGGGCTTTTTGGAGGATGCGAACAAGGAGAGGAGGTGAGCTACTTGCTATTCAACCTCTCTGAAGAGCAGAATTCCACCTTAACCTTTGAAGCTTGAGTTCTTTAGAGGGAGAGAGGGCTAATTAAGTTCCCTTTGTAGCTTTGCAAGAGTTGGAGCCGGAGGGAACAGATTTTCCCCTGGTTAAGGCCCTTGCATCCTAACCGCTGCTGGTAGTGGTGGAGCTGCAGTTGCTGATTCAGGCAGCTGTGGTTTACAAGGCAGCAACCATTTTAAAAAAGGACAGCCCTGGGGAAGACACGGAGCCTCACATTCCTAAGAGAAAAGACAGGAGGAGCTGGTGCTACTCTACCCCATCCAACAACTGAATGGTTGTGCAGCCAATAGGCACTGACTAGCTGGGTGATTTCTACCAAGTTTCTCCACTTCTTAGTGTCTGTTTCCATAATTGATACTATAGCATAGGTGTTTCCCTAATGAAGGTTTTGAAGTGAATTAGTTAAACCAACCCAGCCAGGCCTCTGCAGTTGCTCTCACTGTGTTTTGAACTACCTGGAACTTTAAAGTTAATTTCCATCTCTCATTTTATATATATATATTAGTATCAGACTTTCAATACTCATGCACTTCTCTGTACCTGCGAGATTTCCTGTGTCCTGGCCTGCTGGCAGTCGGGACAAATCTCTTCCACTCACATCCCCCAAGTAAACACACAGAGGCTTATATTAATTATAACTGCATGGCTGTGGCTCAAGCTTATAGCCAGCTAGCTCTCTATCTTAAATTAGCCCATACTATAACTATTCATCTGTGTATCGCCACATGTCCCATGGCTTTACCTGCGTCCCATTACATGTTGCTCCTTGGGTGGCTAGCTGGTTGGTGTCCCACCCCACTCCCCCCACCACCTCCACCTTCTTCCTGGTTCTCCCTTTGAATTTCCTACCTGCCTCTAAGCTGCCTTGCCATATGCCAAACAGCTTTATTTATCGACCAATCTAAGAACACACATATTTGCAGCATACAGGAAGACATTCTCCCATCACTTGTCCTTGATTTTCATAGCGTTTCCTCATTAAAGTACAAAGACGTTTGTCATTTATTAATGAGTTTGCACAGAGTGCAGGATGGCTGAGGCTATGGGACATTTGGAATTTTCAGTATGCCACATTGGGGACTTAGAGATATGTTGGTTCGGGCCTCCTAGGATAGTTTTACTGAAGGAAACTCATTTTGGAGCGTTTGGATACTGTGCACTGTCAGTACTGACCTGGAATTCTAGGTCTTGCTCTCACTAACCTCACTTCACTAGACAACAGGGGTGTTTCTCTCTCTTAAAGCCAGCTCTCATGTCCTCTGGTTCTTCAAAAACGTATCACATTTGTGTTGAGAATGTATATACTTATCATAAAATTGAGAATTATTAGATAATAGAGAATTTCATACGTGTGTTATATTAGTTACTTCCCTATTGTTATGATAAAACCCTATAGCCAAGGCAACCTTCAGAAGAAAAATTTATTTAGGATCTATGATTTGGAGAGTTATGGTCCACAGTGGCGGGAACAGCAGGCGGCAGACATGGCCACTGGAGCTGGAAGCTGAGAGCTGAGGGCTCATGTCTCAAGTCACAAGCAGGACACAGAGAAAGCCAGCTCAAAATGGTGCAAGTCATTAAACTTTCAAAACTTGCCTCCAGTAACATACTTCCTCCAGCAAGGCCACATCCCCTAATCCTGCCCAAACAGAGGCAACTTGGGCCCAAGTGTTCAAATGATCAGGCATGTGCGGGAAATGTTATTCAAACCACCACATTCAACTCCCTGTCCCCCATATGCAAAATGCATTTAGTTCAATTTCAAAAATCCCCATGGTCTTTCACAGTCTCAATACTGTTTTCTGCAACCCAAGTCAACCTCTGAACTGTAATCTCCTGTAAAATCAAAAATCAAATTACATGCTTTCAATATATGGCACATAATATATATTACCTTTCCAAAAGGGGAGAAGCTGGGCATAGTGAGGAACTACAGGACCAGAGCAGAACTGAAAGCAAGCTAGGAAACCAGCCATCTCATCTCATTCAAATCACCACATGCATTCAATGTAATTTGAGTATATTCATTCCTTAGGGCTCCCTTTAACTCCCATCAGATCCACTCTCACTTCTTCAGCCCTTCGCCTTCCTCCTCCTCTTCTTCTTCTCCTTATTCACTTTCTCCTTCTCCTTCTTCTATATAATGCACTCAGTCCATTTGTGCTTCTCATATATTCATAGGTGTGGGGCCATCAACTGGAGGTACCACACTCTTGTTAAAGAAAATTGACTCTCCCAGAAGGCATCAACTTTCAGTGGCTCTTCAGATCTTGCACGGGTCTTGCATGGACACGGACAGCTGCTGTGAGTTCATGAGCACAGTGGTCCTTTTGTGTCCATAGGACAGTATTTTGATCCAGTCCTTCCTGACCTCTGGCTCTTCCAATCTCTCCACCCATATTCTAAAGTAGTCCCTGAGCCTTGTAGAGAGAAGATGACTTACAGATGTCATGTTTGTGGCTGAGCACTTCGTAGTCACTCTGTACTTGGATAATCTGTGAGTTTCTGAACTAACTGTAGTTCACTAAACAAACTCCTCTGATGAAGCCTGAGAGTTGGAATAATTTATGGTTATAGGAATAGAAATTTAGAGAGCAGTTTATTACTATGTCAGTTTAGCAAAATAATAGAAGTCAGGTTCACCCTGGGACCTGTGAAACTCCCAAGCATGGGTTCTTGACCAGATTTATAATACCATACATGTGTTTCCTCCTGTGGAACATGCCTCAAAACCATCCAATGATTGACCATTCCCATAACATTTATGCCACTATTGCATCTATGGGAATATTATTATAGCTCACAGGTTCCAGGATGGGTAGAGCTGTTGATGATTTTTCCTCCTATGGGCTTGAATACCAACTTCTATGAAAGCTACTCAGCAGGTGCTCCTGGTCAGTACCAACTTGATGTCTCCATGTCCTGTGACCAAAGTGTGTGATATCTTCAGCTTAGAGTCTTCACATTGAGCTCTGGTGAGCAATCAAGAGCAGTGGCAATGGCCTACTGAACAAAAATATGTTTGCACAGAGACAAAGACTGTTCCCCCAACAAGACCCCAAGAGTTAGGATAAAGAAACAAACTAGACTAAAGCTGATTCCAGTGTTTCTCTGTGTGCCCAACCTCTTAGCATCTTTAATTAAACTATTTTGGTTCTTCATTGTAGTGGATGAAAGAAAATGGCCCCCAAAGGAAGTGGCACTATTAGAGGTGTGGCCTTGTTGAAGTAGGTGTGGCCTAGTTTTGTTGGAGGAAGTATGTCACTGTGGCGGGCTTTGAGGTCTCATTTGCTCAAGCTTCCCTCAGTGTGACTTTCAGATCATTTCCTGTTGCCTGCAAGATGGAGGACTCTCAGCTACTTTATCAGCACCATGTCTGCCTACCATGATAATGGACTGAACATCTGAAACCACAAGCTGCCACCTCAGTTAAATGTTTTCCTTTATAAAAGTTGCAATGATCATGTTGTCTCTTCACAGCAATAGAAACACTAGCTAAGGCATTCACTCAGCACAACTGTTCAAAAGAAGGATGTTGGACACCATGGGAAGCTTTAGAGTGTGGGACTATAAAGCACACTGCAGGCCGGGGAGGAGACTCTCATCCTAGTGGAGCTGCCAGAGATATCTGACCTATCAAGTTGCCCACACGGTGTGCATGAGATCTCCAAGGATGGCAGCTTTTGTCACTCTTGTTGGGCTGGGCTTCTGGTGATGCAGCTACCTTGAGTTGTTCCTGTACCTCTAAGGAAGTAATCTCACAGCCACACTCTTGTCAGTAACTGCAGTAAACCCATTGGTCTGCCAAGTTGGCCTTTGGTAGAATTGTTACTTTGTTCAACAGGATAAAAATCACACAGCAGGATAAAAATAGGTTCTCTCAAATTTTACCAACATAGTTCCCTATTCAGTAAGGACATTGGAGAACTGAAGTAATAGGCTTCAGAAAATCCTCCATAAGACTTTGTTTTAATAGCTCAGGGATTGTCCGTGTGGTCCATCATGTGGTCAGAATGATGATTGATTGTTTAGACCCCTGCCTATGCAGGCTGATATTTCCCCTAGTTCATCACATTTGCTAAAGGGCTTGCTAAACCAAAAAGAGTGCTTCCCCACTCTCCCT